AATTTGCATCTCTACCAAGTTTTCAGGTAATGCTGACATTGCTGGTCTGAAGACCCCACTTTCGAGAAACACTGAACTAGATATCTACCTATCTGCCTCCCTCTCTCTTATAAAAATATAAAAGCTAAACTGGAAGAATACACATCTACCCCTTGACAGTGGCTGTCCCTGGGAAAGAAGAAAGATAGTGAAATCAAAGGGTCTTTGAGCTTTATCTGTAACTAAAAGAGAATTTATGCAAATATTACTTGTTCAATTTTTAAAACCATATATAAACAGAAAAAAAGTTGAGCAATATATCAAAATATTTATAGGAGTATGGGTGGTTGTTATATTCTTTGTACATTTCGAATATTTCTGTTAAAAAGGATATTATAGTCAAAAGAAATAATTGAGTGGAAAAATATTTACAACAGACTAAAATAAAGGATTACTGCTGCTAATATACAGAAAGTTACACAAATTAATAAGAGACTGGCATGCAAAATAGTAGAAAAGTAGGTAAAGGAAATCAACAGACACTTTATGCAGAGGAAAATATGGAAATAGCTAAGAAATGTATGAAATGATCCTGAACCGCACTAATCACAAGGGAAATAAAAATTAAAATGAGATAGTCTTTCTTTTTTGAAATATTCATATTGGAACTTTAATTATTGCTATAAACTGGAAAATTAATGTTTGAGTCATTAATACTTTTTCTTTCTCTTACATCATTTATTAAATATGGATTTTAATTAGCTTTATTAAGGTATAATCAACACACAATGAGCATCAGTTATTTTAAGTGTACAATTCAATGAACTGTGAAAAAGGAGAATAGTCATGTAGCCACAATTAAAATCATGACATAGAACATTTCCATCATCACAAGAAGTTCCCTAAATACCACTTTCCAATCAATTTCTTCCCCCAATTCCCACCCCTGGTATCCACTGATCTGCTTTCTGTTTATAAGTTTTATCTTCTCTAGAAATTGTTTTAAAAGAAATCTTACAGTATGTTATCTCTTGAACCTGGCTTCTCTCACTGAGCATATTTTTGGGATTCATCCATGTTGCTGAGTTAGTAATTAGTTCCTTTTTATTAATGAATAGTATTCCACTGTCTCAAGGTACCACAGTTGGTTATACATTCACCAGCTGATGGACATTTGGGCTGTTTTCAGATTTAGGCTATTATGAAGAAAGCTGCTATGAGCACTGGAGTATAAATCTTTGAGTGAAGAAGTTTAACGGTATTTTGAAAAGTTTGTGGAAAAATAGAATTAAAAGATAATATGAATCTTTCCACAAATTTAAAGTACCCTCATATATGTCTTTCTGTGATTTTTTTGTTTTCATATTGTAGATATGTACATAACCTTCATTTTCTCCATAAATGTAACTTGTTTTCAGCATTTAATATCTGTGGAGATATAGTCACAGATATAAATGCTGAAATATATATATATATATATATATATATATATATATATATATA